GACTCATTCTAAGGCAATAAATATAAATGCAAAAATTAAGATATAATATTTGTCAGTAAAAATGTATTTTACGATTACGAATTTTAGGGAGATAAGGCTAGCTAGATAATGCTAGGGAAAGGATCAGATCAAACTGAAATGAGGTTACCACAGCAACTCTAAATAGAACCAAAAAACATATAACTATACTTCTATCCTTCAACTTTTTTTTATCATAGATACATTAGTAATCTTTAACATTTCATGAAAAACAATATGTCATCACTTTACTACGTAAGATGCAGTTTTTTTGTCCGCAACTGTAATTAGAAAGCTGGAACTTGAGAATTAATGAGTTTAAGATGTATAAAGTATTATAAACGAGTTTTTGCTAGTCTTCCATGGGCTTAAAAACGTAAAACATTATTCAAAAGGTTTGTACCTTAGTAGTCATTTTACAAAACACGCATTCATGAAAAACAATCTTTCTCTTTTCCGCCTGTAATGCAGCTTTTTTTGCCTGCCACTGTTAATTGGAATACTGCATCGGTAGAAATTTCTCGGTAAAAATGGTTAAATAGCAATTTATTTAATTGTTATTTTGCTGTACTAAACCAAACATATACTTCACATATATTTCTACATATACTTCAAAACACTTAACATCGGTAAGTAATTGTTCAAAATATTTATACAACAGTGATCGTTTAACAAAACATATATTCAGGAAAATTAATATTTTACTTTTCCACTTGTGCGACAACTGTTTTTGTTCAACACTGTTTATTAAAATGCTGGAATTTGGAAATTAATGAATGTAATGTAAATAAAATATTATGTACGTTCTTAAAAAAAACTTAATTTTCCGTTTGCTTTAGGATGTTAAAAATTAGTAATTAAATATAATTCAAAACATTCATACATTAGTGCTTTTATTAAAATGCGTATTCTCCTCTTAATAATTCTTTTCTCAAATAATTTTTCCCTTTTCCGCAGGTGATACAACTTTATTTTGTCCACCACTGTTAATTAAAATACTAGAACTTGAAAATTAATAATTTTAATGCAAATAAAATATTCTATACGTGTTTTAAAAAACCCCGTCTTGTACGTACTTCAAAATGTTAAACATTAGTAAGAAGACTTCAAAATGATTGTACATTTGTAATTTTTAAACAAAATATATTTTTATAAAATCATTAATTCATCACTTCTTCACAAAAGATGCAGTTTTTCTGTCCAAAATTTTAGTTAGAATACTGGAATTTGAGAATTAAGGAATTTAACATAAATAAAATTTTACATACATGTTTTTTAATACCCTTGCTTTCAATGCACTTCAAAAAGTTTTCATATATATATACCATTTATGATCAAAAGAATTATCAAACTTAATCAACGGAAACTTTAAATCATTCAAAAATTAAAAGTAGAAATAAATAAGTTTAAAAAGATTTATTTTAGTCTAAATAAGTTGTTTGTTTTTTTTTAAATAATTAGAACAAGTTTTTTTTTTCATTTGAGATTAATTTTTGAGAAAAAGAAAAATGCATAAATTTTTATCAAGTATAAATGAAAAAAATTATCAAGGGAGTAGTAAGTCACTCTCTAGTTTTAATTCTCTAAGTTTCAGAAACATCTAGAAATAATGTAACTTCAGAAGGAATTTTTTAATTAAAATGGTTGGTGATAAATTAAAACAGCTCTTCAAAACACGTTCCTGGGACAGGATTTTCTTTAATATTAATGAAAAATATGCTAAAATGAGTGGGTTTTCTCTTGACGTTTGGAAGACAAGCAACTTCAGTGCTGCTTGGATAAAAAAAAAAGGACACGAGTATTGATTAAGTGATCTTTATGAAGCTTGTAGTTCCAGTAACTAAGTACTTGTAATACTACCATTTCATAATTTTTTTAAGAGTAGAGGAGCAATAAGGTGCAACGCATACCCTTTATTCAATCAGACGTGAAACTTTTATTACGTAATTTAAATAAATTAAAACTAAAATTAAAGTTTAATTTAAATTATAATTCAAATATTTCATAATGATTTTAATATCTTTTTAATCATTCTTGACGAATGATTGTAATGGTTATACAAATTTCAAATTCCAAACAATCTCATTGAATTGGCACTTAGAACATAAATAGTATTTCTTTTATGTTTCGTTTTCAGTCAATTATGAATTTTTGCATCCTATTAAATTTCTTTTTTTTTTGTTAAATTCCTGTTATCTAAGACATAATTAAGCATTACGTTGACATATATAAAACATAATGTCTTACTGTTACTTAAAAAATGCTAAATAATGTTAAAAAAAAGACTAAATTTCATATCTTATCTTGTCAATACTTCAATTAACAAGATATTTAATTTAATTACTAAGTACGACAATTGTGCTTTAACTTAACTTATAGTTTAGTTTAGGTTTTAAAGCAGATGAAAAGTTTTAAACAATTAAGATAAGTTTTATTATATTGAATTTTGAAAACATTATATTTAAAATAAAAAATTTCTTGTTTAACGTTCAGTATAACTGAATATTCATATAGTATTTATTTACGATATTTATGCTATTGATTTATGATGATATTCATGAATATTTCTGTGACATAATTTTCATTTTAAATGTATTATATTGAATATCATATTGAAAATGCAATAAACACTAACAATGTAAACGCTGTTAGATGATCCCTGTTACATTCAATTAATTCAAAATTCATGTGGATTCCATAATAAAGTATTCCATTTTAATAATTTATGTAGCATAATATTCAGTTTAACTGTATTATATTGAATATTATATTGAAAATGCAATGATACCAAGCAACGAAAAATAAAAGCGCGTACTAACATGGTAACAGTTACAGTATAATAATTCAAAACTCATGCGGATTACGTAATAAAGTATTTCATTCTAATAATTTATCGAGATACGATACACATTATATAATGTTAAGTAAATGTGTTGAGACAAGATTGTTTTTGAATTAGGTCATTATTAAAATGTCTGAAACAATTAATATTGAAGAAAAATCTTGTACGAAGTATTTTTCTTTGCATAAAGAAAGATTATTATCATTATTACCTTGAAGAGGAATGTAACAGGGATTAGCTAAAACATGTCTGCTACCTACTAAGTAATGATTGAAGTTACCCACTTCGTTGCGGCACGTACAATAGTTATCACGGAAACTTTTCCATTAGAGGTTAGTTTAAAAGTACGTATCGATTCGTCAAACTTCATCATTCCTTTTCTAAATTGATTAGATCCATGCACGAGATATTTTATTCAATTCTTCATTGCATCAAATCATTTTTAAATAAATATTGAATATATTTTATTTCATATTTTGAAATAAGCAAATGATTTTAAAAATTAAAAATGCCTAATCTTTTCTCAGCCTTTTTCACTTCAACACGATCGAGTCTATTTGCTTTGTACCGTGTGTGCTTTTTTAATTGATTTGGCAGTCACAATTTTCATCAAGTAAATAATAGTAAGTAAGCAAAGTATAGCCATGGAAGGTAAGGCTTAAAGATTTTGCTGCCGGCTGCAATGATGATGAAAATGTGCTCATGTTTGTGCACAATATCGCCTCTACTCCCTACACTTTAAGGAATTTATCAAAAAAATGGGGGTAAAAACAACTTATTGAATTATTATTTTACCATATTCATACAAAACAATCAATTAACTATAAATTAGATGGTATTCAAGCTTTTAAAATGGAGAAATACATTATATTAACTGCTTACACCTAATACGGTTAAGTAACCGGAATTTTATCGCACCAACTAGGCTCACCTAATGAAACCACCTTGTTTATTGAAGCATATTATATAGCAGACAAGACTAATTTGTCGATATCAAGACCGATAGAACGGGGATCGCATCCCAGTGTTGGCACATTTTTTTCTCCCTTCCTTTTAACACTTGAAGAGCTTCCGGTGCCCTGCTGCACTCCCCCATTTGTGACTATTAGAATGAGATACAGGCAGAAATGACAGCACCATAAAACTGCTTAACACAAAATAGTTCAGTATTTTTCATTTCTTACTATAAGTGAAACAGCCAGATAAACTGATTAAACCACATCCCACTGTTAATTTGATAAAATACAACTAAACTAAAACCTAACTCCAATGCCTACTACCTTGTTCAGTTAGATTTTTTTTTACGGTTTTGAAACCGTGCTAGTTATACTATACAATAAATGCAAAACAATACGGTTAAAAACCATGTAATTTTGTATTCTGGATTTTTCAAACATACTAGTCAGTTAAATTCTCCAACTAGTATGGTTATTGGGGCTGTTTAACTATTAAAAAAAGAATTTAAAAAAACTAGGCGTGATAAAGTAAAAATTATTAAGGCACAAATTAAATACAAAAATTAGAATATCCCTTTAGAGGGATATAAAATATTCAACTAAAATTACTGGCCAAACATAATAGTGAAGGTACTAAATTTTGCACTGTTAAAAAAAATTAATCTGAGTTATAAAGAAATTTACTGAAAAAAGAATAAACATTATCTTGAAATGCTGAAAGGGAATGGATTGAAAATTAAAATATGAAACATGAGACATATTAAAAAAATACAGAATATAAATAAACTAACCACGTGTTTATTTCACAAAGCACATGTTATTTAAAAGATTGAAACAAATCATTAAATGTTTAATTCATAAAAACTTTTTATATTTTATATGTTCTAGGACAAATGATAAATGCATAAATTCAATCAAGAGGAAAAAAGATTGAGCATGGCCTGCTCAAGAATAAATATATTTCTTCTGAAAACGAGGGAAGAATTTCTGAAATGGTTAAATGAGCTTAAATATCTGAAGAATGTAAAGGTGGCAAGATGGTTCCACTGCGATAAAGGAAGTATTTCCCTTCATTTTTTTTGTGATGCGAGTAAATATGCCTATTCGNTGATGCGAGCAAATATGCCTATTCGTCAGTAGTCTTTCTGCGAGTTTGTTAGGGGACTAATGTTTGTGTACAGCTGATGGTGCAAAGTAAGACAGGAATTGCCCCTTGTGGGAAGAAAGAGGCAACAATTGCAAGATTAGAACTTCTTGGTGCCACCATATCTGCTCGTCTTTCCATTGAGATCGGAAAGGAGTTTAAAATCGACGATGTATATTTTTGGACAGACTCCACCACAGTGTTGAAAAGAGAAGAAACGTGGGGTGTATTCGTGCAGAACCGTGTTCAAGAAATTAGGAAACTGACACCAGTTCAAGCATGGAGACATATACCTGGATCCTTGAATCCCACTGATCGGCCAAGTAGAGGTTGTTCAGCTATCACTCGTTTTCCGTTTATATGCACCCCCTAATGCACATCAATGCATCAGGGCACACTACCACGCCAGAATAAAATACAAATCCCCCCCCCCACCAGGGGAAAAAGGAAGACTTCTGGAGCTACTAGTGGTTGCCATCACTTCAAGAAAGAATCAGTAAATGGTGGTTATGGCTCAAAGGTGTAGCCGAGGGAAAAAAGTCTAGTTGATTTTCATGACGTATAGAGTAAGTGTGGCAGTTGAGGTCAGGTGGCCTCTGTGGATGTTGACTGTTCCTTTAATATCAATCCAAAGCATTTTCTTGCATTATTGCTAAACATAGTTTAACAATAGTCAAATGGTAGGATAAATATGGAACTATGGTAGGTATTAATGGTCGGAATTTTTAACCATAAGTGAAACAACCACATAAACTGGTTAAACAAAATTCCATGATTCATTTAATAAAACACAACTCAACCACAGCCTAACTCTAATGCCCACTACCTCCAATGTTCAGTTAGATTTCTTTTTTACTATTTTGAAACCGTGTTAGTTATACTATACAACAGATGCAAAATAATACGATTAAAAAAACAAATAGCTTTGTATTCTGGATTTTTTACCCATATTAGTTGTAAATGTTTTCAAAACCGTTGCCTGGTTGGGAAACCAAGCGAATTTTATGCAGAGGGTGCGTTTCTTGTTTTTCAGAGGCGCCATCTATGACTAAGAATGCGATTTCAGCCACACACACTTCACAGCCCAATTTAAATGCATTTGTTCATTCATCCATCTATCGTAATTTTGACCTGAACCAGAAAACGATCAATCTTCGATTCAGTACCTCCAGAGGAATTGATTTGTTATGGGAACTTAAAGCTCATTGTGACCCCGAAGGATATAACGTGAACCACCATTTGATACACGGTTTTTTTCAGCCGGTGAGCTTCGAACTCCGGTTCTCACAAACACGAGTTCAACGCCCTACCAACCAGGCTGTCATTTTTAACCGAAATATCAGTCATAAATATTCATAAAAGGATTTAATTGAAATGTTTGCATAGAAATATTTTTATTTCACTATTTTTTATGTGCTTTGAAACTTTTTTTGAAAATTCTGAATTGTACAGCATATTTATTTTCAAATAGTACGAATCGCTTATTCTAAACTTATCCAAAACACCTTAATTCACAAATTTAAAAAAATTCTGTTTAATTAACGATAAATTCCAATTATTTTGAAATTGTTTTTTTTTTTTTCAGAAAACGTTTTAACAATTATTTTCAATTCTAAGATTTAAAATAATTCATATAAAAGTATTTAAAAAAAATTTTTCTAAAAAATTCCAATAAAAAACTTTTTTTAATCTGCGTCATTTGCAATAAAGAATTCTAGAACATCAATCGGGAAAAAAAACAGTTTCTTAAATTATATTAGATTTGAAAATATCATTTTTTATTTTACGAAGAGCAACTAATACACCAAATTGAAACTAATGTTCAAAAAAAAATAGCCGTTATACCAACGCCTAATAATTGTTTAAATCAATATACCAATAAATTACCTCAAACTAGTCGTCAATAGATAACAATTACTAATATTACTTATTTAAAATAATTTACTAATACACTGCAAAAAATTCCGTAGCAAATTACAATATAAAGTACCATAACTTTGGGTGCATCATCCGTAAAATCCATTTTGTCGCAAAATAATCTACCGCAATTTTTACAGTAATATTAATTTAATTATAGGGATTCTATGATTTGGATTCGGCGTGATTCAGTGATTCTGGTAACAATGGATTTCATAGTAAAAAGTGCGAGCTGCCTGAGTGCCGGTACTTTTCACCGGAATTTTATCCAGAATTGTTTACCATGTACTTATAATAGTTTTAGCTACATTTAAAATGTCGCCACATAATATGCACACTCATAGTAATTACATTAATCTGTTATTAATTTATAGAGTAAAGCGTTAAATATTTATTTATATACAGTTCATAGCATATTCTTCATTTATATTCTGCATATTCTTCAACTTAAGTCTTACTTAAAACCTATGTATATGTAAATATATTCAAATAGAAATTAATGTTTACTTAATATAGGATACGAAAAGTTTTTCCACTGAGTTCTTTTGTGTCAAATAATTCCTTATCAGAGCGCCTTGTTTATTAAAATTAATTACTTTTATCTCCAGAAACGGGAGAGAGTGATGTTATGTTTAAAAGTAAGAAAGATTGATTGGTCGCAAGAGTTTTTATTGACAAAAGATATGGCTGAAACAGTGATTAATTAATTAGTATAACGTAATACTGTAAAACAAGACAGGCGTTAGTTGGTTTATCTTTGGCTATCGCATTTTAATTTTAAAAAATTTTTGTTAAATATTGAGATATTTCATATTATTCATTGCTTTAATCAACGTTTGTTTTTAAAATATTATCGAAGTTAAAAGAAATAGTTTGACATTTAAATAAAGGCATAAATAAAAGCAATAGAGAAAGAAAGAAACAATGCATTGCATCACTGTTGAGGGAACAGAAAAAAACTAAAACATTTTTAAATTTAAACTATATTGTAAGAGATTCTGGATCAAATTACGGTAAAAAGTACTAGTACCCTGAGCGCAGCGTCCGTAACCCATTTTACTGTAAAAGTTTATAGATTTTATTTTATGTAACTTAATTTATAAACTTAGATTATATTATTATTTATACTATTTAATTTTATAAATTTTATACTGTCGTAAAATTTTACAGTAGTATTTATTTAATTACAATGACTTAGTGATTTTACAGTACCATATAAAAAGTGTTACAGTGTTACCATATAAAAATAGGGAAATATTTCTTGCTCCTTATAATTTTGCAGTAAAAAGTTACTATTAGCGAGTTTTGCTACAGAATGTGATAGGCATGACCCCGGTTGCAGAATTTGCGGAATGAATCTGCAGTACTATCTTAATATTGACTTGAAGAACATAGTTGTTACTAATGTCACTTGCCAATACTAGCAAGCCTGCTATGGGAATCCAAGACATTTTTATGGCAGAGGGTGCGTTTATTGTTTTTAGTGGCGCCATCTATGGCTAAGAATAAGACTTCAGCCACACACACGTCACAGTCCGTTTTACAGGGTAAACCCATTCATTCCTCGACAAATCGTAATTTTGGCCTGAACCGGAGATCGATCAACCTCCAATTCCGTTCCCCCAGAAGTATTGATTTGTTACGGGAACATCGAAGACTTTCTTGACCTCGACAGATTTAACGTGCACCAGTCACCATTTATAACGGAGACTCTTCGGCAGTCGGGGTTCCCACTCACAATTGAAAGAACATGAGTCCAGCGTCCTACTAACCAGGCTATCCCGGCTGAGGAGCATAGTGGGTGCAGTAACTAAGAGTAAATCTACCAATGGACATCTTTTTTACTTACAATGTTTACTAAGGAGATAAAAATTTTTCGTAATAGTGCATACTGGAATTTGCTACTTTTCAAAAATAAATCACGTAAGATTACTTAAAGTTACAGAAATAAATCTTTTGGATATATAAATTTTATAAATTGGAATATCGTTTCTGGAACTGGCATATTAATAAGAAATGACAGATAACATTGGCTTTGTAAGTTTGCTAAATATGACATGGATATAAGATTGACTATCTTTTGTCCCCCCCCCTAGGTGACAGAGAGACTGTAATTTAGTAACAGAAGCAGCACATTGTTTTTTTTATGTTCAGTGTATGGTTTTGACTTATTTTGTTCAATACTATATTATATCTTTTTGTTTGAATTAAACTATAAGAAGCAAAAACGATGTCATATTAGCCTCTTTTATCATAAAAATCCTTTTTTTTATGGTTATTGGAGCAGAAGAATACATCCCTGAAGGCCAAGTTTTTATTTTTATTGGTTTGCATCTAAGAAAATATTTTTTTTCATGTAGGCTTACTTTACTGATGAAAAAAATATTTATATTGGAAGTAAAAATGAGAAATGCTCACATTTTTTTTCAAAATTCATTATTTCAAGGTCATTGTAGCACAAGATTTTATTTTAGAAAATTATTATTTTATTTCTTATGATGGGAAAACGCAATTTTCGTACATATAGGCTAAATGAAAATGCATAATTCACAAAAAATGAATCCTTTTCACCCCACACTAAGCACATGTACTTATTCAGTTTTTAATTCTGATAAGTATCGTCAGCAAAAATGATTAATCACTTAAAAACTTAAAAATTAGTTTAAAATCTAAACAAATAACTGTATCCTATAACTGTTTCGTGCATCTGACAAAAATTTCCTTTTAAATAATTAATGTGACTCGTTCTTTTCTTAAAGCGTTTGTAAAGACTGAGGGATGAATTATCCAAAATTTAGAAGAAAAGTTAGAGGATCAAATTCAAAAAACATTTGAAATTTCTATATTTTTAAACAATTTTTCATGATTTTGAAATGAAAAAGATTGAATTATTTAGTTATTAAATAGAGTTTTTTACATATGGATACTCGCATTTCCTTCAATAATAAAGTAAAAATCATTTTTTGTTAATAGAATCTTACATTAAATTCCTGTTAGATACACTAAATTATTTATCACATCATTTTCTAAATATTTTCATAATAATTTCGTGTCATTTTACACTGCAACTACAAATTTCACTTTTCATAATTTTTATATGAAACTAAACATTTTCTGGCAGGATATTTTAAAAATTTACAGTTTATTTCTTATTATTTATAATTTAAAAATTTCATTTTGGGCGCCTACCACTACTTTTAAGTGAATGCTTTTGAAATATTAAAAAGTTGAGAAATAAATAAAGTTTATGTCAAAAATAACAGATTAATACAATTTTACTTACTTAATTGTTAATCAGTTTCTTCTTTAAACTTATCTAAAGTTTTTACGTACATCTAACATTTCAAATCCATCTAAACATTTAAATTTATCTAAAGTTTCTTTCAAGTAATCCATTGATCGAATCTTCTAAATCTATCTTAAGTTTTAAATCCATCCGGTAGATTAAATCTTTCC